TCTTCCGAGGTAGTAACTCTGACACAAATGGGATCTTGGAATTGTATAGCTCAGAGACCATAAAAGTATGTATCTGGGAATACCTGAACAATCATGCCATTTGAGCACATATTCACTAGGTACGTTGTGTTACCGGATACTTCTGGGACCAGTGGTATAGACAAGAGGACAGGAAACAGTTTTCATTTTCGGTCTCAAGGATATTGTGATCGGTATTATACTTAGGTGTGGTGAGACCTATATTTAATTTTGTTCATGCCTTTTCTCTCAGCTTGAGAAAGATTTGTAAAATGCACACTAGCACATTTGAACCATCTCTCAGCACAACTAGCATGTTCAGCTGAATGACAGTGTATCAAAACCTCAACCTTTTACTATTTTGTCTTGTAATCTGTTTCTCCCAGTCACTGCTCACTTTACTTTTAGCTTGCTTTTTTCCTCTTTTCTTAGTTCTGTGTTTTCACCCATGCTTTTCATCAGTCATGCCCTCTCCATGGGCTGTGTTTCAGTGCTTTCTTGTTTTCATATTATTTTGTTTGCTTCCTTTAGGTTTCCAGATTCCCCAGTCTAGTGTTCAGACCTTAGGGTTTGATCTGAACAGCTATCACCCTCAAGATGACCAGCTCCACCAGGATCTCAGTTTGACAGAGCTCTAAGGGGCACATGAGAGTTTTGGGCAAGTCCCACAAGCACACTGTCAGCTGATACAAAATACACTCTTCCGCTTTCCCCAACAGCTGTCTTCATGGTCTCCGACTTTGCCAGACACTTTGAGATAGAGAGCAGGAACTGTCTTTTTCCAGAGACTCTAGTTTAAAACCAGCAAAGCTAATTTATCAGCATCTGCCATGAGATCTAATCTTTACTCAGTCTCTAGGGTTAATACAATATTCTTACAGGCTAAAATTCTTTCTTTGAGCTCAGAGGTGAAGTTACAGTCTTCTGTGAGAGTCTTCTCTCTAGGACATGGTAATAGCAGATACACAGCTTCACTTGTGGAATTTTGTTATCAGACCTTGACACCTCTATTCTTTCTTTTGGACATCTCTAGCTCTGGAATTTTTTTGCTTTCTCTGCACTACTACTGTATAACATGAGAGATCTTAAAATCCTTTGACATGCAGGTGAAATACCTTCTGTCTTTTTTATCCCATATTCTCCTATTTTTAACAATACCACCAAAAGGCACCTGCAGTTCTTCTCAGAGAATTTCTGTCTTAGTTCCCTATTTTTTACACTCTTAATGTTGGGTAAAGCCAGTTCGAACCTCGCTCATGACCTGCCTGGCCAGATTTAAAACCAAACACCTGAGATAGATAGATAGTCAACCTGGACACTTTTAGCAACACCAACAGCTGAAGTGACTTGTTAATCTGGAGTGGATGTCTAAAATCAGTCTTTAAAGGGGACTGTTCTCACTTCTCAATAGTAAAGGGCACTGAGGAAGTTAGATTTTGAAGTGCAGTCTCCTAAGTTGGATGGAGCTCATATAATGGCATAAAGCAGGCAAGAAGGAGATAGATGCCCATGTAATTAAAGATAAACATGGAACAGGTTATTCCTCAGTGTCAGATGGAAGAATAGATGGATCCAAAATCAGTCCTTTGTGCTCACCACCACCAGTACACACAAAACTTCCTGACATCTTTACAGAATGCACCTACATGTGAAATGTTTCACCAGCCTAATGTAAAGGGAGAGTTGCAAGAATATACTGCAAGAAAAGATCTTATTTCAGCAGAACGAGAAAGATTTAACACAAAGAACTGGTAAAATCATGCAGAGTGCAGCAGAAAAACACATATAAAAGCCACAAAGAATTAAATTCATAGATTGTTCCTTGGACTCACTCTTTTCTTTCATATGAGAGGGCATTACTCTAGTTTTTCCATTTGTCATTGAGACATTACCTTATTATATGTCCCATATTCTACAACTAAGGACATGATTTAAAAAACCCACAGCATTAATAATTGTTTTTACAGTAATAAGTATATTATGCTCCTCACCTTTCTATACACTCCTTCACAATAGCAAAATTTCCATCTCCTATAGTCCTTCCAACTTTGTATCGCTCTGCTATTGATGCTGGAACCTGGAAACCTTCCTCCAACACTTCTGAAAGAATCATTAGTACATTTTTATTGTTAGTGAAGGAAACACAGATGTTGCACATAACATGCATTTTAAGTCTATGGTTATGGAGCCTGGAAACCATTCAGAGTCAGTATCTCACTTACTGTACAGTGAAACCATGCTGCTGACATTGTATACACTCAACAGGTTTCACACAGATACAATAATGAAAAATAAGACTTCTGGGGGCTCAAACATACCACCATTTGACTGTTACATAGTTTACCATTCCCACTGCAATATGCCCCCGGGACAAAACCAAAATTGTATTTTTTTAATTATGAAAAGGCCCCTGTGATCTGCACAAGCGCAGACCAGCCTCCAAAAAGGGCTGGAACTCCTTGACACAGCATGATTAAATATATGTACCAAAGAAGTCCAACACTCAGGCACTTATTTTATTACATCCTGTAAACTGAGACATCCATAAAACTCCTCATGTGCTAAGTGCTAGTTCTCCCCCTCCCCCAGTATTAAATATTTAGTTTTTAAACAAATGTTCTCAATAATACTACCTCACATGCAACCTGGGTGCCAGATGTTTAGGTAAAATTGCATTACACAGTGTCTAAGCATAAGAAAAGTTTGCAGTTTCATGTGTTTTAGTGCTCATTCATGTACCATTATTTCTAAATGTATTTGAAATAGTGTGTTACAAATACCTAACATGCCTCTAAAAGCTGATTGTAAACTGCAGCTGATACAAACTACCATATAAATATCATAACAATAAAAAATATGCCTCTCAGAAATGTGACTTGAATTTACACTCTTTAAGATAGTGCTTTTAACTATATTTTTATCTGTCCTTTGTCTCAGTTTAATATTAAAAGTGAATGTTACGATACAAGGGAGCTGGGGTTTGCCTGAATTCACAGGCAGCATGTAGAGTTACTGTCAGATGGGAACAAACACACACATGTCTATGTGCTTGTGAACTGGCAGTATGCAAGCAGACACTATCCCTTAGCCAACTTGCTCAAAGCCCTAATATGGGGTAAGACTAATCATTCTTGAATGAAGACCCAGGACTGCAGTATGTTCTTTAGCACCACGACAGATGAGACAAAAAAATTACTAAAATAATCCACTCAACACTGTGTCACCTGCGGAACTAGTATATTGAGTATCCTGCAATAAAAACACCTTTGAACAGTGATGTCCAGATCAATTCTGAACCACAGTGAACCTAATTGGTTTGCTAAGACTGATGAGCCTCCTCATGGAGAGTCATCCAACCCTCAGTGCTCCCACCTTCTCCGGCAGGAAGAATGACTCATTTCCTACACAGCTGCTGTTATCACTACACTGACTGCTTTGAAATGTCAGCCTTCAAATGTTACCTTCTGCAGGTCCATCATTTTCATCCATAGAGCTGCAAACTTTGGTGGATGCTAATGAGGTAGAGGAGCCACTGTGTTGAGAGCTCTGGAAATGGAGAAACAGAAATGAAAATAGATGATTTTTAAG